GACAGAGAGAGAGACAGAGAGAGAGACAGAGAGAGAGAGAGAGACAGAGAGAGAGAGCTGAGCAGCATGACCCACCTGCACCGAGGCCATCATCTTCTGCCGCACCTCGCGGATCTTGAGCTGTAGGCAGGTCTTGGTGGGGAAAATTTCCGAGTACTTGTTCTGGAAGGCCACAGTTGCCTGGTCTGGATGGGAGCAGAACCACAAGAGACTTGGTTGTGAGGAAAACGTAACCCAAACACTTCTTTCAAAAACCAAACTCAATTTGAACCCCCCTCCTCAATCAGCATTCATTTACCTCACCTACCCCTGCAAAGCAGATTGAAAAAGTTATCCGTTCTTAGCTTTTTGTGACAGTTAAGATGTAAAAACCCCTAGTCAAAACCAAAATTAAAAATGTATCACAAACAAAACCCAAATATTCACCTCAGATAGCAAAACAACACCAAATTTTAAAAAAGTCCAACCCTCCAACACCCCTGCGTAAGAAAAACCATCCCGTCAGAATCAGAAAGAGTATATTTAAAAACTACACAGAAACAGCGGAACCCTGGACCAATAGTACCCCACAGCAAGCAAGTGTCGCTTCCTAAGGGGGTCGCTGTAAGACGGACACCATCATATTTCTTTTAAACGGCAGATCAGTAGAATGGCAGTGAGGCCAGAGGTCGTAGTACGCTGTTACTATTTGTACCAGAGATAGTTTTATACTAGGAGGGTGAGACTTTTTGCACAGATGACTGTTTTATACAGATGGCCGTTAGAGGAACGGGGAAAAAAAGGAGTACAGTTGTGACTATTTGCACAGGTGACTGTTTTATACAGATGGCCGTTAGAGGAACGGGTAAAAAAAAGTAGTACAGTTGTGACTATTTGCACAGATGACTGTTTTATACAGATGGCTGTTAGAGGAACGGGTAAAAAAAGTAGTACAGTTGTGACTATTTGTACAGGTGACTGTTTTATACAGATGGCCGTTAGAGGAACGGGTAAAAAAAGTAGTACAGTTGTGACTATTTGTACAGGTGACTGTTTTATACAGATGGCCGTTAGAGGAACGGGTAAAAAAAAGTAGTACAGTTGTGACTATTTGCACAGATGACTGTTTTATACAGATGGCTGTTAGAGGAACGGGTAAAAAAGTAGTACAGTTGTGACTATTTGTACAGGTGACTGTTTTATA